TGGCCTAGATGCTGCAGAGAACACAAACTGAAAGAGTGCAAGTCGGAGGCGCTACAATGCATTAACTGTGTTAATCATAACAAGTCACATAAAAAGAGCTTGCCCACAGATCATTCTGCTAACTTTCCTGGATGTCCTGTGTACCAAGGTTATGTTGACAATTTGAAGCAGCGCGTGGACTATGGGAAGTAATAAAAATGATGTTTTAAAAATTTGCCATATAAATGTTCGATCACTTACAGCTTCTTTTAATGAGTTTTCTTTGCTGGTAAAAGATCAATTTGATATTATAGCTGTGTCTGAAACTTGGCTTTCGCACAGATAGAATTGGCAGAGGTGGTGGGGTTGGCATATACGCAAAGGCTAATCTGAGATTCAGTACTGTTAATATCGATTTTTTTGGGTAACACATAGACAATCTTGTTTCTTTCTTTATGCCTCAATATGATGACATTATTCTTCTTGGAGACATGAATATTGATATGTTCGATACCACTAATGTACTCAGCAGTTGTCTTGATTTTTATGGTTTCAGGCAGGTCATCGATGAGCCTACTCGTATTTCTCGTTTTAGTTCTACTTTAATTGATGTCATATTTTTAAATAATATTGAAAGTGTTCTCAACTCTGGTACCTTAAATGCAGATCTGATATCTGACCACAAACTAGTATTCTGTGAATTAAATATTAAAACCGTTTCATCGGAGGAAACATTCATAACCTATAGGGATTTTAAGAACATTGATGTAATCAAATTCAAGCAGGATTTGGCTGCAGCTGGCTTAGAAGAAATGCTGTATATTACCGATATTAACTCCAAAATTCTAATCCTTTATGGGGTGCTTATTGAGCTTTTTAACTTTCATGCTCCTATTCGGACGGCTCGTGTCACCAAAAAAGCTGCTCCATGGTTAACTTTCGCACTTAAGGTCATTCTTAAGGTGAGAGATGAGGCTTTAATTAAATTTCGTCACAATCCATCAGATGAAAATTGGACAGCGTATAAACAGTTAAGAAATTATTCACTTGCTTCAATCCGGCGTGAGAAAAAGGCATATTTATCTCGCTTTGATAATCTCAATTCTAGAAAAGCTTGGGATCAGCTGAGAGCAATGAATATTTGTCCCCAGAAACACATTGAAATACCCTATGATCTGTTAGACCCTAATGAAGTCAATAACCACTTCATGTTAAATTACCAAAATCTTAATATCAATTCCCGTTTGATTGAGAGTACAGTAGAGTTTTATGAGAACAGCTTTAACAGCCAAGATGTAACTCCATTTACATTTAGAATGATGACCGCTGAAGAAATTTTGGACATAGTTACCTCTATCAAGTCACCTGCTACAGGGAGTGATGAAATTAATTTGAACATGCTAGGATACTGCTTACCAGAAATTTTATTGTATTTAACACATATTGTTAATATATGCCTTGAGACCGGGACTTTTCCTGATGCTTGGAAGGAAGCTATTATCATCCCTTTAGCCAAAGGCAAAAATCCAACCACTCATAATCATTTGCGGCCTGTTAGTTTGCTGTGCTTTTGTTCGAAGGTATTAGAGAAAGCAGTGTACATTCAACTAGTGGAATATTTAGAGCAAAATAACTTGTTTTCTCCTCATCAATCAGGATTTCGTGCGGGACATAGCACTACTTCAGCTTTGCTCCATCTAACTGACAACATCGTAGGTAACTTAGACAGACCTATTAATACCATATTAGTGATGATTGATTTCTCAAAAGTCTTTGATACAGTTAATCACAAAATCATGTTGAGAAAGCTGAAGTACATTGGATTATCTGATATACCGCTAAGATTTTTCCAAAGCTACTTGGTAGAAAGAAAACAATTAGTTAAGACGGTTAGGGGTCTCTTCTAGTACTGTGGTTTCGTCTGGCGTTCCGCAGGGGTCAGTTCTGGGACCCCTGCTATATTTAATTTACACTATAGACTTAGATTCGTGTGTGGAATGTTGTTCTATACAAATGTATGATGATGACACACAATTATCATTTCACTTCACATATGCTCAGTTAAATGAAGTGTCGTTTAAAATGAATACTGACCTGATCAATATTACGGATTTTTGTAAAAAGCACTGTCTCAGGATCAATCCTGAAGAGTTCAAGTATGCTTTTTTCTCCGAAACACATGTATAATAACATAAAGGACGCAATTGTACTCATTATAAATAACGAGCGCATCCCCATGGTAGAACATTCTAAAAACCTGGGTGTTATCTTGGACTCTAACTTGAAGTTTGATAGGCACATCGGTTACCTGTCTCAAAAAACATATGCCAAATTAAAACTTTTATATTCCAACCGTTTCATTTTAAACTTTAAGACTAGGAAAAAATTAGTTGAAAGCCTGATCCTGTCATCTTTGCAACATTCTCTGATTTTATTCTATTCTTATTTGGATTCGTCGGATCGGTATAGGTTACAAAAAATTCAAAACGGCTGCTGCAGGTTTGTGTTTGGGCTTCGTAAATATAGTCATGTCTCTTCGAAGATTAAAGATTTAAATTGGTTAAAGATGGAATCACAGTTTGTTTATGCTATGAAGGTGTTTGTCCATAAAGTAGTTCGCACAAAAAAACCACCGTACATTTTAGAAAAGCTAGTACCAAGAGGTAACATTAATCAGAGAAATCTCAGACACAACCTAAATTTTGCGATGCCAGTCCACTATACAGCCCTTTTCCAGAAAAGCTTCACATTTCATGCTGTCAAGTTATACAACTCTACAGATAAAATATGTCGCAGTAAAACAATAGTGCCTTTCAGGAGACTCGATAAGAAACAGCTGATGGGATATTAATAGTTCAAGTGTGCATTTGTTTCTTTTTCTTATTATTACTATTGTTTGTTTGTGTATCAAGTTTAACTGTGTTACTCTTTCGTACACAGTGAGGTTAAGTGTAAGAGTAGCCATTTGGCTAAACTTCGCCTCACTGATGTATGCTGATTAATAAAGACATTTATTATTATTATTATTAAAAATCTCTTTGTAATACGGATTTTTTATTACCTTTTTTTGCGGATGTTATTCACAAGTTTTTTCCGTAACATCTACGGTGTAGTTAGATACAGGAGTTTAAAATTTAACTGCATACTTTCAGTGGGACGATGTGGAGAGCTTTCTGCCAGAAAGCGTATATAAACCTGGTAACGAAATACCTAGAGAGTTTGTACCACCTGAAACAAAGGAGGGCGATACAATCAAGATTGGAGTTGGTGAAGTGTTTGATTTGTCCAAGTTTTGGGTATATTTAGATGATGGAAATTTGGACAATCTCATGGATGAATTGCAGTATGTATTTTTGGTTCCAGTATATTTTACGCAAATATTGACATTCGGATAAATCGTAGCTTAGTTATCTCTAAATCATATTCAAGTAACTTTTAGGCCACATCAGAAGTACGAGGGATGTCTTTTAAGTTTTCATATAGAAACATATAGGCCGCGCGGATCGAACGTCAGTACTGAATCTTAACCTTACTCTTTAGTAAACTTAAAATCAAAGTTTCACAGCAATACGTGCAGTGTTTTCACTACTACTACATTTTTTTAAGTGTCACCAAGACATTAGAAAATGGAACTCAACCGAGAACATTTTCGCGCCATAATTTATTACAACTTTCAGAGACAATTATCGCAACAAGAATGCCTTGCTGAGTTACTGTCTGTTTTCGGCAACGAAGCGCCACATCAGTCGACAATTTCCCGTTGGTATGGAGAATTCAAACGTGGACGGGTGAGTCTTAGCGACGATCCCAGGGTGGGTGCACCAAGAACTGCAGTCACCCAGGAAAACGTCGATGCTGTGCGCAAACTCATTATTGAAGATAGACATGTGATATATCGCGAGATTGAGGCGTCCTTGAAGATCTCAAAGACCTCAATTCAAAAAATTTTACATGAAGAATTAGGAGGAAGAAAATTAGTTTCTCGTTGGATACCCCACCTGTTGACTGAAGAGCAGAAAGCAGCCAGGGTTAATTGGTGTCAAAAAACGCTTGACCGTTTCAATTCCGCAAACTCAAAAAATGTGTACAGCATTTTTAGTGGTGATGAATCGTGGATTTACTGTTATGAACCAGAAAATAAAAGACAGTCGGCTGTTTGGGTGTTCCAAGGTGAAGTGTTTCGAAAAAGATGGTTGCGACATTTGTATCATATTGCAACAATTCCTCTTAATGAGCAAAGAACTGTTACTGCGGATTGGTATACCACCATTTGCTTGCCAAAGTCATCACCGAGCTTCGAAAAATCAATCCCGAAAGAAGAATCATCCTCCACCAAGACAATGCAAGCTCGCATACAGCCCAAAAAACAAGGCAGTATTTAACGGAAGAAAACGTGGAATTATTGGACCATCCTCCATATAGTCCCGATCTAAGTCCTAACGATTTCTTTACTTTCCCGAAAATTAAAAACAGACTGCGTGGTCAAAGGTTAAAGTCACCAGAAGAAGCAGTTGACGCATTCAAAAATGCCGTTTTGGATCTGCCAGCAAACGAGTGGAATAAGTGCTTCGAAAATTGGTTCGAGCGCATACAGATGTGTATTAGTCTTCGTGGAGAATACTTCGAAAAACAATAGTCATTAAAACTACCTACCATGTTGTTTTACTTCCATATGCAAAACTTAAAAGACATCCCTCGTAACATAAGCCTAACCTGTATTTGTTTTGATGCGGCGAACATGACAATGAATATAATGCAGAATGTTTTCATTTTAGGGATTTCTATGCAACAAATGCCTCACGATACTCGATGAATGAAAGTTTGATAAGAGAAGGGGTCTACTGTGCAAAAATTATTTATGGAGAGTATCATAGGGCAGTCATTGTTGATGTTTTACCCGAGGTCAAAGATAGTATAAAGGCAAGTATTCATGAAATTACCTAAAAAAAACATTTTAGCAAAGCTACTTTATATTACTGTTTAATTTGATATAAACCCTTTTTTCCATTTCTGCAAAATGATTTACCAGTACAGTGAGATTTCTTTTTGGTAGAAATTACCTCTAATGACTTGTCACAATTATTGCATAGGGTCTTTCCATTGCGTTTTAAGTAAGAGGTGTGCGCGGGAATCCAATGAATGTTCGCGAAACAAAAATTTTGAAGAAGTTTTGACTCAAAGTTACTAATTTGCCAAGGAAGAATAAACGTTGTAGGCTTTGAAAACCGATCAAGTGACCGTGAAGCTACAGCCAAAAAATAGAAAAACAAAAATTGCCGAAACTTCGTTTTTTGAGGTTTCAGAAACACCAGCTCATTTTCAGATTTTTTTGGTGGGATTTGAAAATTGCGGTTTGTAGTACTTAGTCAAGCTTCGATTTCATTTGAGCCTTTTGAATACACTTGACCCATTTTTTATAGATGTGCATAGTTAACTTTTAGAGGGACCTTCGTTTCAGCAGCTATTGCAAGCCAGGCTCTTACATACTGTAACCATTGATTAACGAATTCTGCAGTCTGGAACCGAAACGGAAGAGAGTAACAGCACATTGTACGCCACTGTTATCGCGCGTCTTTGAATAGGGCTTGGATCCGCGCTCATCGTTTTTGCCTATTCAAAGGCATGTCGCTCTACTCTCTTCCATTTTGGTACTAGGGTATACTTGAAAACCAACCAGTGCCCAGAACGGGATCTGAAAGATCACAGCACCATCTATGATACAGTAGCAGAACACAAGTATGAATTTAGAAATATCCATTGACGGTAAAGTGTTTGGTTCTATGACTCTGGTCTTATAGATAGTGCTAGGATCTTCAATATCTTTTTGGCACCTCTCTAATACCTACAACAGGCTGTGTTGCGGTGGAAGTTCGGGGGTGTTTACACTCCTGAGCAAGAAGAAGAGCAGTGGAGCGACACCTGCTGGAACTGGCCTGGCTCCAAACCAGGAGTCGGACCAGCCCAGACCGACGGGAGCTG